GAGCCACAGAATTCGTTTTCACAGAATTGAATGGGGGGGTCATGACCCCCATGACCCCCCCCCATGGATCCGCCCTTGCTCCCAGTTCTATATTAATTATTAATTGTTTTCTTTTCAGCTTTGAGGCCAAACGGCGTCTAGTTAAAAATCAAACAATTTTATGTAGGCACTTTATTTCAAAAAAAGCTAAATTATATGTTCTAAATGAAAGGGATTGTTTGCGGCTTTAGCGGACAAATAATTTTTCTTATTCCAAAAATAATTTTTGGAAAAAATCCCTTTGATTTAGAATTTTCGGACGCTAAAAACCCTTTCATTATATGTTCTGCTATTAACCGAGTATCTCGCTTCGTTACATTTACATGAAATTTTGCTTAATAAATGAAAATTGAACCAAATATATTTTATTACTGGCGACTGCAAAAATTTCCGGTCGATCCCCTTTTTGCATCTGTGGTGCCCGTCTGGCAACGCTGTTCAACAACCAACCACAGAACATGTATTTTGAATTAGTGAGGTTATAGAGTTTGTTTTTGTTTATATTCATATGTCAGGTAGATTTGAATTTTAAACCTGCATAGAACAACAACTTAACGCACCGAAACCCATTTGAATGGCCCGAATTAAACACCATGAGTGAGTTTATAACAATACAAGGTAAGTTTATGATTGAGGATTGTTTTCAACAACGGACAATCTGAAAATGTTTAAGGTCTATTTCTTCCCTAACCACCGCAATTATTCCCCTATTAGTTGGACAATGTGGAAATCAGATAGGTGGGGCATTGTGGCCTCGAATCCTCAACGAGTACGGCGTTTCGCTCACCGCCAACAACACGAAAACTTCAAACAGTTCCAGTCTAGAACAGTCTTTTTCCTCGTTCTTTCATGTTCCCAACTCCAAGCAAGAGCACTCGTTCAGAACGCTCCAAGACTTGGCCAGCTGCAAAGTTAAAGCGCGGGCCATCTGTATTGATATGGAGGACAGTGTTGTGGCCCGATACAGAACCGGGACTTTGAAAGGGCTGTTTGATGAGAAGTGTTTAGTTACCAACTATCCGGGGTCAGGGAACAATTGGGCCGAAGGTATAAGATTTCAAATTCACCAGTCAATATTAGTAGTAAAAACGCTTTAAACCCATAAAGGCTTCTGCGAGCACGGCCCCCAATACCAGGAAAAGATCCTAAACTGCTTGAGGCATTCGGTGGAGCGGTGCGACAGTTTACATGGGTTCCTAATGCTATTTTCCACGGGGGGCGGCACTGGATCAGGCTTAGGCACTTACGTCCTCAATTGCTTGTCGGATTTTTATCCCAAAACCGAAAGGTGAGTAATGATTGCAGCTCAACACACTCGAGAAGCTAATTTCAACGTAGATTTGTATCCTGCGCGTATTCAACGGGCACAGAAGACGTGATCACCAGCCCCTACAACAACGCGCTGGCTACGCACCAGCTGCTGGAAAACGCAACGTGCGTCTTTCCCGTCGAAAATCGCTGTTTGCTGGAAATCGCTTTGCGAAAGAGCCGCAACAACTGCATGCCGACTCATGAACGGGCCAAGGAGTTCAACACCACTGATAGCATGAACAGCAGCGTTGTGGAAATGCTGCTGCACTTAACCAGGTGTTGGTTTAATCCAGAGATTAGTAGAGAGATCGCCGATGAGCATAGGCGAAGCTGTCCAGCGATACGCAGCCGTAAGCTAGCGTGATCATGAGGTTTTCACAGAACATACCCCCAGGGGGGATATTTTGTGGAGGTTTTCTCCCGAAACAAACACACAAGTTAGAAGTAGTGTAGGGGAGGTAAGTAGTGGTAGTAGTAAGTGCGCCTAAGCAGCAAACGCCAGCCGATTTGCGCTGGTAAGACATCGCGAGCAACGCTGTGAATTTGGAGCTAAATGCTCCGATATACAGATAACTAATCGAATTCAATGGGTTTTTATTGAAAGTCCGTGGGACTATTTAAAACTGGCATTTCCAACATTATCAAACTCATAAGGTGCAAAAATATCTATATGCACCTTGTATACTTTTATAAAATACATTGTATATACTTTCCTGACTGTGTTTCAATTCCAAATCAAATTTATTCCTGGGTTTCAGTCATTTATTGTCTCTATTTATCAATCAAAATACGTTTCGCTGTATTTTTCCACCATCATCAGTTTTTATGTGTAGCGTTGTTGCTGCTTTAAGCCTTGGCATGCATTTTTTGGCACGCAAAAATGTAGAATATGAGTAATTTATTTGATAAAAGTATACAAAGTGCATATAAAAATATTTGCACCTTGTGAGTTTGATAATGTTGGTGTATTCGAGTATTCGATTATTCGAGTTATGACTACACATAATTATTCGCTTTTCGAATATTCCAATACTGTGCCCGCCACAGTGGCGCAATGGTAGATTCTTGTACACTTTTTTAACATGGGATCGGCGATCTCTCAACTAATCTCTGGTTTAAACAACGTTTCCAGATACAGTGGGTTAACGTTTGGTGTTTTAGCGGCTCCCGATTTCCCGGCGCTTTGAACTTTGATATGAACGAAATCAACACGAACATGGTACCGTTTCCAAAAATGTCGTTTCTTTCGAGTTCCTTCAACCATCTGGTCACCGCAAACAGTAAGATATCCAGGTTGGTGATAGCGCGTAGGAACCGATTTAGAGTCCCGTCCTAATGGTGAAACTTTCAGCAAAAGATTGAAGGAGGAGCTTTTCTTCGCGTGCTGCAACCGCTCCAACCAACTGGTCCAAGTCGACCCTCTGGGTGTGATTAATCAGGACCAAAGATTTGCGCCCGAAATTAACGTCTAGTGATTTTAGGGCCCAAGTCGGTGTTACTTGCATCCACTCTGATTGGAAGGGGCGAGTATTCAACAGCGGACTTACAGGGGTACATCGGCAAGCTGCAGGCTAAGGGGCGGTTCACTTCCTGGTCGAAAAAGGCGGTTAAAATGGGGCTGTGCAACGTGCCACCCAACGGCCAGAATGTGGCCCTGTTCTCCCTCTTTAATACAACGGGGATGTTCGGTTTGTTCCAGCATATCGCCAAGCAGTTTAGCAGTTTGTTCCGAAAACAGGTAAGGGCCAGATCGGGCTGCGGCTTCATATTTCAAGCAACTGGATTAATATTTCAGGCCCACATTCATCATTATACAAATGTAAGCAGCTTTGAGATGGACTTTTTTGACGAGTGCCTGGAATCGTTGCGGGATGTAATGCACAAATACAAGAGTTTGGAGAACGTGGGCCCGCAGACCATTCCCAGACTAGAGCCGAGGAGTTGCGATTAAACGAACAAAACCTTTGCTGTGCTAAATGAATCCACATTACAAAACCGACGTTTATCACTATTTTAATATAATAAACTCTTAATTTGTACCCGGAGCCTCCTGTGCGTGGAAGCGTATTAGAGCCAATTGCAACTCCCCCTCAACAGTGCAAGTGCATTCTGCATAAATCGCCTAGTTAAATCAAACGAGATAGACTTTCGAGGCCATTCCTTGAAACTAATGGGTTTTTAGCCCGTTGCAAAATGGAATTTCTTCCTGACGTTTCGCCAGCACGAGTGGCTTGCATCTTCAGAAGTGGTTTGCTTGAACGCTTACACTGTTCTCATCAGAACCCGTTCAGTTCTGCGGAAGAACTGAACGCGGGTTCTGATGAGAACAGTGTAAGCGTTCAAGCAAACCA